TTCAACACAGTATACATTAAATGGATTAAAACCTGAATAATTGATAGGTCTCAAAATGTAACTGTAAACAGATTCATGCATATATATTTTGAGTGGGGTCCCGCAGGGACTGGTTATTGGTCCTAAACTTTTAACAATTTTAGCAAATGACCAGGAAGAAAACAAAATGTTTATGATAGTGTGCAGAGGACACAAAAACTGGGGCAATGGTAAATAGGACCACAGGTCACAGATACAGAGCAATCAGCACCGCTTAGTGCTGGGCACAATCAATCAAAATGTGTTTCAGTAGGTCCAAATGTGAAGTCATATCTAGGAACAATGAATGCTGGCAATACTTACAGGATGGAGAACTCTTATCATGGGAAACAGGGACTCTGAGAAGGATTTGGAGGTCATGGTGGATAGCCAGAAGAACATGAGCTCCAATTTGCCACTGTGGCTAAGAGGGCTAAAGTAATCCTTGGATGCATAAAACAGAGGAATCTTGGGAAGGAGTAGGGAGATTATTCCATTAGCAGTTGCATCAATGCAAAACAATCGAGATAATGTAGTGTGTCCACACTTCAAGAAGGATTTTGAAAACTTGGAGACGATTGAGAAAAGAGGCAAGAGAATGATCTAAGGATTGAAAAACATGTCTCAAGGAGCTCAATCTATTAAGTTTATCATAGATAAAGTTAAGGAATAACTTGATCAATCTACAAGTAGCTATATGGTGAACATAAATTTGACAAGAGGGCTCTTCAATCTAGCAGACAAAGATCCAGTGGTTTGAAATTGAAGCTAGTTAAATTCAGATTTGAAATAAGGCACACATTTTTAGGATAACTAATCATTGGAACAACTTAACAAGGGCTGTGGTGGATTCTACATTACTCGAAGTATTTTAAATCAAGATTGGATTCAAATTGACATGATCTAGTTCAACCACAGCTATTAGACTCGAAGCAGGACTTAGTTCAAGGAAGTTCTCTGAACCTGTGTTATGCAGGAAGCCAGCCTATGTGACCACAAGGGTCCCTCCTGGACCTTTAAAAAAAAAAAAGACTTATATATGAACTAAGGGGTAGTCCACATTTATGGTACGCCTACACAGTGGGAAAAAAAAAAAAAATACAAACCCACATCAGCAAGTCTTGGAGACTGGATCAACTGACTCGAGCATGCAGGGCTTGCATTGCAGGGCTAAAAATAGCAGCGTATACATTTGGGCTCAGGTTGGAACCCAGGCTGTGAATCCCGCTGAGGGGGTAGCGTCTCGGAACCCAGGCTCCAGCCTGAGCCCGAACATATATGATGCTATTTTTAGCCCCGTAGTGTGAGCCCACATCAGGATCTGACACTCAGTAATGCGGGGGGGTTTCGTTTTTATGGCTTTTTTGCTGTGTTGACGTACCCTTAGTGTGCTGCGCCAAGAGCCAGCTTCAAAACCTAATAATTCAGAACGTATTCGACTTTCATTCTTTTCTAAAGAGTACGATGCACGGCAGGTCCAACCAACAAAACAGCATTCATGCGGGAGCTTCCTAAAAGGGAGGGAGAAAGGCTGCAGCAAAATTTTATGTACAAGCAGTATTTCAAAATTCAGATTGGTTCAAACTGGCCCCACTGGGTCCTAGAACAGACTTTTGTGGTGAAAATTTGGAATGATTTGGTCAAAGTATTTCTGACATATGCATACCCCTAAAAAGCTGCTTTTAACATTTATAAATTCCTATAACTTTGGTTTTTTTCCCCCCCACACAGCCAGGGAAAACGTTATGGCTGTGATCCTCATTAAGACACATCACTGGACAGTTCCTCAGATCAACTATTCAACGATAACCAGTTTTGAAAACCAGTATTTCAAAAAAAGTTATATTCTCATTCTCGTTTTCCAGGTGGGTACACCAGGTTCTGGCAAGCATCTTTTGGTAACAGAGTATCTGCCTTAGAGAGACAAAGGTTTACAGACAATTCACCCCTCTTCAAGCTATTGTTTACTAGGGAACACCTTTGTCAGTGACACACTGAGTAACATTTGGTTGCTTGGGAAACAGATGCTCATACCCTTTAACCCAAGGACCATGAATTCAAACCCTCTCCTCAGAAGATTCGTGAGCGGTGACAATTAGCACTTCCCTTCTTGCTGTCTGGGGCCACAATGGGACTTCTTTTGGAAGTGTGAGTGGTGTATGAATTTTGAGGAAGCGCAACACCACAGAAGCGTATCTCTAGCACTATCTACACATCAGCCCAAGTCCTGCCCTAGAATAGTTTGGCAGGCTGTGGCAGTACTGTGCTGGGATATGAAACCCAGTATGGCTGATACAGGAGGAACTTGCTGTCATGTTGACAAGGACACCAGAGAGGTCAATGTAAGAGTCCTGGCTAAGACCAATCAGTTATGGGCCAAACAAGGCTCAGTGAACTCCTGCCGGGCACCAATAGGAACAACAGATCCAGCCTGCATCAGGAACTAATAGGTACACTCAGTGCATGCCACAAGCACACTGTGCTGAAAAGGGAGTAGGGAATTGAGAAAGGTAGGCTCTCGTGCAGGGCACAGGTACATAACACTGAGATGGGTCAAGTTAGGAAGAGAACACCCATTGAGTTTAATAGGGCACTTCACTGCTCTGCAAGCCTCAAATGCTGTAGAGACGTATGCAAAACCTGTTCCCTCCATGCTAGTCTCTGAAATGGAGTAGGGACTCAGGAGGTCCCCTTCCCTTCCCATGCTACCTCCAAGTTGGTGTATGTGTTCCTCACAGTTGATCAGCTACAACTGTCTCTCTCTGTGGCCCCTCCAGTACTACTGGTTGTATGAGGTGCCTGAAGGAAGGCACAGCTGGTACCTGAGGGGTACCCCATGTGACCCCAAAGCCTTCCCATAATGCCTCCACCACTACCCTACCTCCTCACAAAACAAGGAACATTAATAAAAACTTGGTTAAAGGGGAGTTACAATTGCCTGGCAGTGCCCCAGACCCTTCAAACTGACACCTCCAAAATTCAGGAAGTGTTATTTTGTTTGGAGTACATTAGAAAAGAAGGAATTGTACAGTTATAGTAATACTTTCCATACCACACACAACCTTAACTCTGCCCCTTGGGTGATAGCAATAGGAACATAACATTAACTTTACCCAGCCTAATGAAAACTGCCAGTTTCTCAGCACCTCACACAAACCCCAATATCAGCACTCCTGTTTATACACTTCCATCCTCACTGTATTTTTGCATCACCATTGACTAAGCGTAGGTTGGCAGACCTCACTAGGAACAATAGTTTGAGCTCTCATTAAACTGAGTGAGGGGTTTGTAGGGCCACCTCTCTGAAGCACCCCTTGTGGCAGAGATCAAGGGAACAGAGTTGAGGTTCTGAAATGTTAACTAAATTGTGTATTGCCATATTTGCTAGTGTTTGCATTTTGTTTATTTCCCTGATTCTCCAAGATCTGCATTTTCAGGAGGCACAAGTTCTGAAGGGTTATGAGTAGGACCCTATCAAATTCACGGCCATGAAAAATGCATCACAGACCGTGAAATCTGGTCTTCCTGCGTGAAATCTGGTCTTTTGTGTGCTTTTACCCTATTCTACACAGATTTCAGAGGGGAGACCAGATTTCACGGTCTGTGACGCATTTTTCCTGACCCAAAAAGAGTTGCAGGTGGGTCACAAGGTTTGTTTGTTTGTTGTTGGGGGTTTTTTTTGTTGTTTTTTTGGGGGGGGTGGGAGGTCACAGTATTTCCACCCTTACTTCTTCACTGCCTTCAAAGTTGGGCAACCGGAGAGCGGCGGCTGTTGGCCAGGTGCCCAGCTCTGAAGGCAACGCCCTGCCAGCAGCAGCACAGAAGTAAGGGTGGCAATACCATACCACTGTTACTTCTGTGCTGCTGCTGGCGGTGGCTCGGCCTTCAGAGCTAGGCTCCCAGCCAGCAGCCGCTGCTCTCCAGCTGCCCAGCTCTGAAGGCAGCACTATCGCCGGCAGCAGCACAGAAGTAAGGGTAGCAGTACCGCAACCCCCCCCCACAATAACCTTGTGGCACCCCCCTGCTCCCGAACTCCTTTTTGGGTCAGGATCCCTACAATTACAACACCACGACATTTCAGATTTAAATAGCCGAAATCATGAAATTTATGATTTTTAAAATCCTGTGAAATTGACCAAAATGGACCATGAATTTGGTAGGGCCCTAGTTATGAGGCCCTGTCAGGACATCTTCAACAAAGGTTTGCTTCTCTTTCCTTTTTTAAGTGAGGGACATTCACTGCCTGTTAATGGCTGTTATTTGGTTAAGATCGTAGTCTATGATTTGGTGACTGAATTGTGTTTATTTTACCTGTTGTCACAACAGATTATAGATTAAAAGTGTGGACAGTTCTGTCCTGTGGACTGAAGGGAATCCTCTCACCAACCAAACCAACAAGTAGCCAAACTTGAGTTGTAGGAGCTAGAATTCAGTACAGGACGACAGATCTTCACGATGGAAATAATCAGTTAGCTGAACCACCAACCCTCCCCTTCTCCCTGAATGAATTCCAGGAAGTGCCACCACTCACCTTTGTCTGCTCTTGCCTGAGCTGCTTTAATAATGCTACGTCATCCTGGGCCTTCTCCCTCTCTTCTCGGAGAGTTTTTACTACATTGGAAGTCTGAGCAATACAGCTTTTGATTATTTTCTCTCTGCTGGCATGAGCCTCCCTCAGCTAATTGGAGAAGAAGAAAAAAAAAAGTCAGATTAACTAGTTCAATGGCCCATGGGAAGAAAAAACCTCTAAATTACAAAAACAAGTTAAAAAACAGGTTGTGTTGAGTCTCACAGTACAGCTACAATAATAACTCTCCTTGTTGATAGAGCAGTCTTGCCACAACTGCTCTCCTATACTTCTGCCTATGGGACAGGTCCCCATTTCCATACCCTACAAGGAGAGAATAACCCTTCCTTCTCTCAGAAGTGGATCCCACTCCCCACAAACTGGCAGCTGAGCTGCATACAACATCTTATTTCCAATTCTAAGGTAGGTGGGGAAATTGAATTGCAATAGTATAACTATATTGGTCTTTCTAGGCTGGCGCCATGCTATCAGTGGTTCACACTGCAGGGTACACAGCAACCTATGGAGCAGGTGCTAGAAGAGCACAACACTAGCAGGGAAAGACAAGAAAGATACTAAAGCGATTCCAATTGCTTCCTTAAGAGAACAAAAGAAAAAATCTCATGGATATAATATTCCCATTCAGTACCAACAACTGAAATTCCTCAATGCTTACAGAAAGTGACAAACAAAGTAGATTGAGTGTGGGACAAGAGAGATAGGTGGGCTACACCATTACACAAAGTCGACAGGTCACATCTTTCAAAGGGGCTGCTTCTCATTGACACACCCTATTGCTTTGTTGTTTCCTTAGGTCAGGTCTATGCTACAAACTTACATCAGTATACATCCACACCCTTGAGTGAAGTAGTTATATTTACCTAACCCCCAGTATAGACAGCGCTATGTCAACAGTAGAATTTCTCCTGTCAACAAGGCTAATGCCTCTCATGGAGGTGGATTAACTACGCTGACAGCGGAAGCTCTCCCATCAGCATAGTAAAGTCTTCACTAAAGTGCTACAGTGGTGCTGCTTGTACATGTACACAAGCCATTACTTTGTGCTAAGCCTGATTCCCACCTGCATCCTACCACCTTATAGGCTAGGCTCAACTGCTCCAGGGAGGAGTTTCTATGATAGAAAGGTTTCAGATCTGGTGGCTGCTGTTATAATCTTTAGAATCAATTGTCTGTGATCCCATAAGAATCAGTTTTGACTCTTTAATCTATATCCTGGCAAGCAATGTTGTTCAGAATACCAAGTAACTGAATTTAACAAATAGTATCAAACAGAGAAAAAGGTGAAGACCTTAACTTTATAGAAGTAGACTGCTTTGAAAGTACTGCAGAAATGTGTTAGCCCTGCTATTTAGATAGAGTAATAGATGAGCTGTCTAACACATACTAAGGTCAGTAGTATATCCTGCAGGAATGCTACAGTGGAGCAAAAAAACCCTCTGCATATGGGTATTTGTCATAAAGCAGCCATTATGTGTGTGGGGACTGGCTATATAAAAAGTCAAGTAGGCCAGCCGTGAATGCATATTGGAGTATCTGCTGTGCCAGCAATTTGTAACAAGCTGGGGAATGGGTGATCTTGTGTTTCTGGACACTACATTTAATCAGGAATTGGTTGAAAAAGGCTATAATGAAATAGGTACACTTACAGACTGGTAGAGCTCTTTACAGGTTTGGTGGGCATCGACTTTCCCTGCAAAGGAAGCTGTTGGAAGTGTAGTATTTAATTCATGGACTATTCTGTCATCAATTGTCCGCATCACCCTGAGCAATTCCTGTATGTAAAAATAAAAATCCTTGCTTATACCTGAACAACAGGGAAATTAGAGGAACTGTACAATTAAGCAATTTTTAAATTTTAATAGCTGTGTTGCCTGGAGAACATAGCAAAAAAAAAACAAAAAACAAAAAGGTGTCATCCATGAAACAGTCGTTACTGAATTTTTTGAGGATGAATATTGTTTTGAGTATGGGCCACAGGCAAAGATATTCTACATCCTTTGAGTATTTTCACTTTGTTCTCTAGGCTGCCCAGCTCCACTCCCCTGCTCTGCAGGTATCTTGCATAAGACCCTCGTCCCCCGCCCCCCCGGTCCCCTCCCCAATGTGTGCGCCAGGGAGGTGCTTGTAGCTGGTTTCAGCAGCACCTCATCTTTCCGGAATCAGCTATTATGCTGTCCCTGAGGCAGCTCAGGGTGGCTGGCCAACACTTCTGGTTTTCCTACTCATTGGCTGCAAGCTGGATATCCATCTATGACTTTCAAAGCCCTGCTGCCTAGCTCCATAGGACAGTGTAGGGAGCACATGCTGTAATCCAATTAACTCCCCCTTTTGAGGAAAGCTGAAGAGCAAGAGACAGCTAAAAAAAAGTCACAGACCAGAGGCAAAGAAAGCTCTTTGGGGAAGGGGCCATCTTGTTCTGTATTTGCACTGTCCTAGCAAAATGGGGTCCTAGGACATGACTGGGGCTCCTAAACACTATGGTAATGCAAATAAGTAAACACAATTTGGGGCATCTAAGTGCAGCCGAATGTCAAATCCCACAGCAAAAAACAAAAAACCCCACTGAATTCTGTAGCATCTTAGAAAAACTGCAAATTCTATAGCCACAGAATCATGCAGAACGTAGCCCCTGGACTTTTTCTAGCATAAGTCAGTCATATTTTGTATTTTATATTAATTATTCTAAATGTAAAAAAACACATGAAATCTAACATGGAAGTACTGTGATGTGCTGCTAATATTTTTAACAGTGATTCTTTTAACTTAGGATACACCTTTACACGGTTGCACATGCAACAGATCAGGTAAGTGAGGCAGTGAAGAATCTATTCATTTGTTTTCTCTAGTTAAATAAAACAAAACACTCTCATAACTTCAACCAAAGAAGAAAGCACTGCCAATGGACAATCATATTAGATATATTTGCTGGAAACGTTTGCTGTTTGTTCTTTTTCTGGAAAATATACAGAGCATTTTAAGAATAGAGGCAGCACAATAGCATAATTTGAGAGAGAGATAAATATGTTGTAGTCTAGAGAAGAAGTTCTTCCACTACAAAATACTCTGAGAACACATGCGAGCCTACTGTTTCTTCAAGACAAATATCTATGTACTTCAGCAATATCAAACATACAGTTGCCTTAATTCTTTCCTTTTTTATTGTAATACTATTGTATTAGTGCAATTCTATCATACCTGCCTACACCTGAAATCTAAAAATTGGGTTACATTTAACGTCTCAAATATCCAATTATAACAAGTGAAAGAGACCGGGAAGGGGAATTATGAATATTTTGCTTAAAACTACAGAGAGTTTGCATACAAAAATCTAGTTCCAAGTGTGTGAATATGAATGCCAAACCAGACTTTAAGGACATATTGCCTAGCAAGCACATGGGATATAAAAATATAAAGCCGGATAAACAACTATCTGTGCACTGACAGCAAGCATCAGACGAACTAGGGAAGAAGGAACTTAAAGGAACTGGCACATGAAATTGCAAGCCCATTAGCAAGAATTTTTAATTAATCAGTAAGCTTGGGGGTTGTACCATACGACTGGAGGATTGCTAACATAGTTCCTATTTTTAAGAAAGGAAAAAAAGTGATCCAAGTAACTATAGGCCTGTTAGTTTGACATCTGTAGTATGCAAGGTCTTGGAAAAAATTTTGAAGGAGAAAGTAGTTAAGGACATTGAGGTCAATGGTAATTGGGACAAAATACAACATGGTTTTACAAAAGGTAGATCGTGCCAAACCAACCTGATCTCCTTCTTTGAGAAGATAATAGATTTTTTTAGACAAAGGAAATGCAGTGTACTTGATTTCCGTAAGTCATTTGATATGGTTCCACATGGGGAATTATTAGCTAAATTGGAAAAGATGGGGATCAATATGAAAACTGAAAGGTGAATAAGGAACTGGTTAAAGGGGAGACTACAACAGGTCATACTGAAAGGTGAACTGTCCGGCTGGAAGGAGGTTACTAGTGGAGTTCCTCAGGGATCAGTTTTGGGACCAATCTTATTTAATCTTTTTATTACTGACTTTGGCACAAAAAGTGGGAATCTGCTAATAAAGTCTGCGGATGACACAAAGCTGGGAGATATTGCTAATACAGAGAAGGACCGGGATATCATACAGAAAGATCTGGATGACCTTGTAAACTGGAGTAATAGTAATAGGATGAAATTTAATAGTGAAAAGTGCAAGGTCATGCATTTAGGGATTAGTAATAAGAATTTTGATTATAAACTGGGGACACATCAGTTGGAAGTAACAGAGGAGGAGAAGGACCTCGGAGTATTGGTTGATCACACAGTGACTATGAGCCTCCAATGTGATATGGCCATGAAAAAAAGCTAATGCGGTCTTGGGATGCATCAAGCGAGGTATTTCCAGTAAAGATAAGGAGGTGTTAGTACCATTATACAAGGCACTGGTGAGACCTTATCTAGAATATTGTGTGCAGTTCTGGTCTCCCATGTTTAAGAAGGATGAATTCAAACTGGAACAGGTACTGAGAAGGGCTACTAGAATGATCCGAGGAATGGAAAACCTGTCTTATGAAAGAAGACTCAAAGAGCTTGGCTTGTTTAGCCTAAGCTAAAGAAGGCTGAGGGGAGATATGATTGCTCTTTATAAATATATCAGAGGGATAAATATCAGGGAAGGAGAGGAATTATTTAAGCTTAGTACCAACGTGGACACAAGAACAAATGGATATAAACTGGACATTAGGAAGTTTAGACTTGAAATTAGACGAAGGTTTCTAATCATTAGAGGAGTGAAGTTCTGGAACAGCCTTCCACGGGGAATAGTGGGGACAAAAGACATATCTGGTTTCAAGACTAAGCTTGATACGTTTATGGAGGGGATGGTATGATGGGATAGCCTAATTTTGGCAATTAATTGATCTTTGATTATTAGCAGGTAAATAGGCCTGATGGTCTGTGATGGGATGTTAGATTGGGTGGGATCTGAGTTACTACATAGAATTCTTTCCTGGTGCTGGCTGGTGAGTCTTGCCCACATGCTCAGGGTTTAACTGATCGCCATATTTGGGGTCAGGACGGAATGTTCCTCCAGGGCAGATTGGCAGAGGGCCTGGAGGTTTTTCGCCTTCCTCTGCAGCGTGGGGCACACGTCACTTGCTGGAGGATTCTCTGCACCTTGAGGCCTTTAAACCACAATTTGAGGATTTCAATAACTCAGACAGAGGTTAGGGGTTTGTTACAGGAGTGGGTGGGTGAGATTCTGTGGCCTGCGTTGTGTCAGACTAGATGATCATAATGGTCCCTTCTGACCTTAAAAAGTCTATGAATCTATGAAGGAGTCTTGACCTTTTGGGTCAATTGCACAGAAGTTAAATGAACCATGAGGCAGATAGGACGTGTCTACCCTTACCCCCACGCTGCTGCGATTGATGAACCAGGGGTCGATTTAGAGGGTCTAGTGAAGACCCGCTTAATCAAGCACAGATAGCTCTCTCATCAACTCCAGTACTCCACAGGAACGAGAAGTGGAAATTAAGTTAATGGGAGAGCATCTCCCATCTACCCAGCAAGCTGTAGACACAGCAGTAAGTCGACCTAAGGTACATCAACTCCAGCTACATTATTCAAATAGCGGGAGTTGCATAACTTTGGTTGACTTATCACGGTAGTGTAGACATGGCCTTAGAGAGACAAGGTGGCTGAGGTAATATCTTTTCTAATATCCAATATCTTCAGGTCTCAGAGCTCTGTGTGGCTCAAAAGTTTGTCTCTCTCACCAACAGAAGTTGGTCCAATAAAAGATATTACCTCACCCACCTTGTCACTGTAATATCCTGGGACTGACAAGGCTACAACTACCGTGGATACATCAGACAGTACACAGTTCCATATCTTCTGGGGGCTGCCCAAAACTCAGATACCATCTACCAAGTGGTCTACACTTAAGAGTTTTCCTGGGACATTAAAGTTGGTTAGATGGAGGAGAGGCAGGGTTTGTAACATTTTGTTAGGTCCAAGGAAAATGGAGTATAGAACAGGTTGTTTGGCCA